TTCATCGAGGGTGGTTTGGTCGGTACTCCCTTCTAATAGCGACGCCGGGGTAAATTTTGTCCTGTTCTTTTTCCTTATTATAAGTAGAGCTTGGCAATATAGTTAAAAATAATATCGATTTCTTCCCAGCCCTTCCTCATGGGCCTAATTTAACAGAATATACATTCATAGTGCCTTTTAAAAATGTCAATCATTTTTAAATAATAATATCGCCTATAATTTAAAGAAATAGTTCAATATTTCTTTTATAATTGGTAGATTTGAGAGCTTCCTTCTCCATTTCAAAAGTATTGAAATCTCGAAAAATTTCAAATTTTTTTAAATAATTGGTGTACAACAATGCTATGATAAAGCCAGTTCTAATATATGGCTGTGAGACGTGGACACTAACCAGCATCCTTGAAAAAAGTGTTGAAAGATCTGAGAAAAAAATCCTTCACAAGGTCAAATAATAATAATTTATTTCCAACAAAAATAGAGGCGAATCTCAACTATATTTTGCAACAAACAGCAATTAAAGCTAATTAAACTAGGAAGTTTTTACGAAAGTAGGATATCTTAGTATATATAGTTTTAAAGTTAATAGTAGTTTCGATAAAGACAAACAATACTTATATTTGTAGAAATTTGTGTCTTCTTTACTATAATAAATTTGTAATAACCTAAATCACCCTTGTTATGAGTTATAGTCCGTGGTACAGACTCCTTTTTATCAATTTGTTAACATCCGCCTAAAACTTCGTAAATAGATTAATCTCGTCGTAATGTACAAATATTCTCTTTACAAAAATTTTCAGAATTGGGGCGTTTTCAGTCTGGAGTTTGGGATACTTTGTCTATTTAATTAGATATTAAAAACTCATTTGCTTTCCATTTAGATCAGCACAAAGTCGGCAAAAAAGGTGGCATTCAAAAATATAGAGCCCTTTGACGTGACCTTGTGACACCCCCAAATTGTCAAAATAACGTGGTTATATAGGCCAAACTGCCCAATATTTTTGTAGGCCATTTTTTTTCTGACTTTGTGCTGAAATTATCATACGATCCAAGTTTAAAGCAAATGGCTATTCACGAGTTTTAAGAATCTAATTAAATAGACAAGGTTTGCAGATATCCAGATTGAAAACGCCCCAATCCTGAGAATTTTGGTAAAAAAAGTATTTTTAGGTTACGATGAGATTAAGCTATTTACGAAGTTTCAGCCGGATGTTAATAATTTGATAAAAAGGGGGCTATACCACGGACAATAAACGGACTATTAATCTATAAATATTTTTAAAGTATTCCACCGTATATAGTTTTTACATCATATGGAAGTTCGATAATTGTTGCTTGATTTATTTTTTTAAATTTATCTATTATTTCTTTTTTTTTGAAATAGAATTACTAAAATTGGTTTTATTCCAAAAATCTCTATTTCAGTTCCGTTGTGGGGACCCTACTACAGAATTATAATACTTGTAGATTAAACGAAATCACTTCACACATATGTTTCGGAAGGGAAGATAAATTAATCTTAGTTTGGGAAACCATTTCAATATATTATCCTCGCCTTGAGCATCTTCCACCATCAATTCATCAGTGTCACTTCGGCATCCCATGTCCCCGATAATACCGGGTTCCGGGCTCTTCTTGCCCCCAAACCAATCCGCTTACACTGTTCCGTTCCAGCTCATTAAGGAGGCTTCGAATCAATTTTCTTTTCAATATTTCATCTTTTTATTCTCAATAACTTGAATTAATAAAGGTCTTATTATCAGAAATAAAAATAGACAAAACATCATTGAAGAACAAAAATAATACTATTCGCTTATCATATTGCCATTAATTATTTGTCTAATTATTGTTATAGACTTCAAGAGCTCAACAAAAGTTCATGTAAACAATTGCCAAATTTCCAACAGAAAAATAGGAAATTTAAGATCAGTGTTTTTTTAAGCGAATCACGTTTTCTGTTAATTAGCAAGCTATCACTAAGAAAATATTTTTAATTGCGAGTAAAATGGTTGACTGTATATTTTTTTTAGTTTCGCTTCCTACTAAAAAAAAGTGACTCGCTTAAAAAAATACAGATCTTAAATTTTCTGTTTTTTTGCTGGAAATTGGACAATGTTTATATGAACTTTTTTGTATATCTTGATGTCTAATATCTACTCCTTAAATATTTCTCTCTTCTTACGAGACACCTTGTATAATGATGTATACTCATCATCATATAATCAAGGTTATGATATTAAGTTGCACTCGAGAAGCTTTGGGAAGTAGATTAGGACTAATACGCCTTATTTATTGACTTCGAAGATGCCTCTGTATTCAGAAAGTATCTCTAGAAGATCATGACTGAGTTGGGTGTTTCTAGTAAGTTAGTGGCTTCGGCTAATGCATATACTAATGATTCAGATTACTGATACAAAGAGAAGTATCTGAAGCTATGGAAATTCGAAGATATTTAAGGAAGCTAGGTGGATCCTCGCCGGTGCTATTTAACTTAATCCTGAAGAAGGTAATAAGGACAGCACTCAAAGATATAGGGGTGGACATCGAAACGAAACATAATATCATACGCGGATGATATAGCCGTCCTCGGAAGCATTCAAGAGGACCTTCAGAGATTTACTCGGACTCTCAAAACAGAAGCAGAGCGAATCAGTCTAATGGTTGAGGAATATAAAACAAAATATATAATAGCCGAAAATAGGATTTTTTTTTACTATCAAAGTATTCCCAAGAATTAAGGTCCCTGGTATTGTTTTTTGTATAGTATGAATCAATTTTGCAACACATCAGACATTTTTTAACGAATAATATTTAAAAGCTCGTAGGAAATATCATAGAGAAGATAATATATTTCACTGGAGAAAGAAAACAGAATTGCCGACGTGGCAACATAGGAAAAGGCTGTGTTCCTTGAAGATTCAAAGGTAAAGTTATTGGAGCCATGTAAATATACTATTCAAAAAAGAAAGCAGATCACAGTATTGAATCAGGATTATATGGAGACTGATACGTAACGCGAACCTATGTTTTGTTATCATGCCAACAAGTTCTAAAAGGATTGTTATGCAAAATTGTCATACATTAAGGCCATGTCGCAGCGACCATTCAGATGCAATCTGCCAGCTGATTTCAAAATTACCTCAATGGCCTCTTTTAATCTTCAGTATACCGTTATAACGGTAAAGTGCGTTTAGCTACGTACATTTATACTTGCTTTCAAATCCGTAATACAAACATTTATTATAATCTTTAAAAAAAAAAGCAAGTTTTTGTTTACATTCCAATTTAATTGCATTTTTGAAATCGAGCATTTAATTTTTATTTAAAACTACGAAAATCTAATTTTTTTCAAAATGATATTTCGCACACCGATGAAAAAAAATTCAATCCTCAAAAGTATCAGTTTGAAATTAAATGAAAGTATCAATAGCGATCTCTTCGATCAATAGCGATCAGCCCTGATGAAGGTCTGAACTTCGGGTCGAAACGTCGGCAAATGTTAAAATAAATATTATTATTTATTTTTGCCATTTTTATTTTTGACTGATCACCCCAGCCATCCTTCTCTTAGTTATTCACTACAGTCAACCATCAACCCACAATTTTAAATGAAAGTTATCCTCGGACATTTAATTCAGCTTATAATGAAAAACATATTTATTTGTAAATATGCTTGATTACACTAAGGGCAAGTTTCTAAACTCAGTGCTGAGCTCATTGATGATGTCAGAAATCCATCAAATGGTTCATAAACTCATAGGTGGTGACCGTGCATGGAATTCAAAGCAAGCGATTAAATAAATCACTCTGCGGATACATCGGTTTTTAGGCTATGAACATGAAAGTGATATACCTATATTTTCGTTCGTCTAAGAAAAAAAAAACTGCATGTTTATGTATTAATATAATATTTATAGTGCCTAGCGAAGTAGTTGAAATTACCATTTTTGCAATTTATACTCAAATTTACTTAATTTGTTTTTTGTTATCCTTTGTATTGATAAAATTGTTTTACCTGCTAAAATTGACTAGATTTTTAAAATAAATTGATATGTTCGATTTTTTTCTCTCATCTATTTGTACATTTTATAAATTTTTCTTTATTCAATTTATCATGAAAGCAGGGATGGGAGAACAAAGTTGAGAACCTCAAAAGGAAGAACCTCTCCAACTTCAAATCAATTTAAATACTAATTTTCAAATCTCTATCTCAATTAAAAGAGGCTTTAGAGATGTAAAAATATTTTAAAATTACACTAACATGTCTTTTTAATTTTATTCGTCATCAGTATCCCATATGCACAATGCCTTGTACCTTCTTCATTGCTCTTTCTCGCAACTGCCGTATGTTCGTGCGTTCCTGTCATTTTTTTTTTTTCTTTGTCTATTGGGTAGTACTTGATTTTAGAAGACTTTAAAGTTGTAGTCTTATATTTCATGTTGACTCCTGAACAATAGTAGAATAGTATATTATTGTTTTTATGTTTTTGGACGCTAGGCATGAATTGATTTATTAAATAAAGAATTCTTTTTAATATCATTTAAAAATTGTGTACTTATAGAAAAATTTAAACTCGTTATCCTTTACCGAATGTGAAAACTATTTACGTTTGTTGATACTAAAAGTTTTAAGCCATAAAGTTTTATAAATGATAATAATTGATTTTTCTTCAAAAATTAAATTGACCTACCAACAACAAAGGATGGGAGGCGATAGCGGTGTGAAATCGCGGCGGTGATGTTACGTGACGGAATGTTTCATGGAATCCTCGAATAAACGTTTGGATATTTCGTTGGAGATTAATGAAGTGTTTGACAGGGCAATTGAATGTTCATAAACGAATAGTGTACGGTTTGGAACATAAATGTATAAAATATTTAAAAACTTTTGACGATTCGGTCATACATGCGATCTTAAATTGCTCGGATTTAGTTTAATAAGAATATATTAATATTAAGCAATTTTTATTTATCATTAATAAAATTACGTATTATGCAATCTTATGTCGGCTTATGTGAGAAAATATTTATGATTAATTATCTGTTGTTTTTTTATGTTCCTATATTATTTACTTTTATGGAATATTATTTCATTGATAAAAAATAATAATAATATAAAAAAATCTGGAGCCCGCAACACCCAACTTCCACTTACCGCTGAACTTTGAATAGAAATTATTTTCTGGCCATGTTGGGCTGTTATAAAATTTTTGAATTGCATATTTAACCGAGCTAAAGCTGAAAGCATACAGCTAACAAATCATAAATACCATTAAATTAACAAAAGACCTATTTATTAAAGTATTAAAGTAGTGTAACCATCGATGCCATATCTATGAATAAAATAATACAAGAAAATTAATACTTGTAAGATGGTAAAAGTAGGTATAATAATTTTAGAAGGTTTTAAATTTTAATAATACTTTTTAAAATTTCTTAACTCAGCACTGAATTCATCGTTCTAAACCGGGCGAATATATGTCACCGATGAGTTCAGTGCTGAGTCTAGGAACTTGGTCAATTTATTGTTAAAATTATAAACCTTTTGAAATTATAATACTATTAATATCTTACAAATATTAATATTCTTGTATCATTTTATTCAATGACATGACATCGATGGCTGCACTACTTTGAGTTAATTTCATATTTTAGACTAATTTTATTTTAAAAAATCTTTAACACATACAAATTATATGCATTTGATTGATTTTCAATGACCATAGATACAAGGATTCAAAATATTTAAAAAAAGTTAAAATAATATTATTTATTATTGAGGGATGGTAACACTGGCATACTGCATCGTCACTTCAGTTCAGTGCCAGCTGTATACCGATGCGCTTCGTTAACTATCATAGTAACTTAGATATAACTGCAATATATATACGTCTATTACTGTTAATAAGAACTTTACAAATTTACAAATCTTTAAGAAAGTAATGAGAAAGCTTCTCAGTTATTTCAAAATAAGGTACTGACGAATTTAATAAATGTTTGTTTTTAAATTAACAATGCCTCAGTGAATGAAATTATAAAACACTAATAAAATGAACATAAATAATTATCAATCCTTCTATGACTTGTTAGTAGAGAGGATAAATTGAAATTAAAATATTCTCTAAGAAATCATTGTTTAAACAATGGACTGTACATGTCTGTGCCAGTTCGAAAATTGTACTTTGCCCTCATGAAGCTGTGAACCAGTGCATTTCGCTGCAATGAAATTTATTCATTATTGTTTATTTTTTATTTAATTCTTTATTCATTTTGAAAAATATTAATTGCAACTCCTAAACAATATTAATTGCAATTACTACGTTTTAGGTATCTGAGAAAGAAACATAAATGTTTCTATGCGTTATAGGAATAAGGTATTGATAAAAATTCCAAATAAATTATTATTTATTATTGAAAGTTCGATTAACCAATTATTATTAAACTTATATATCTGTATAATTTCAAGCATGTACATAAATTCAACAATTTAACTAAACATAACATAACCTTTAAATAAATGTTACGAAAATTTAACAATTGTCTATGACGTGGAATAAAATAATTAGAATTCTTTATTTTCCTATACTTTACTACTTAGAACACAAAAGTACCATACTTCATTTACTTCTATTTGTCGAAGTTTCAGGTTTGTACCTTTCCACATCTTTCTATTTATTTAATTGTTTCTATAAATCTGAAGTAAAACTGCATCTACAAATAAATCATCATTTTAAAACTGTTTGAGAAAGGAATTGAAATGTCTTTCTGATGTTAAAAAATAAGATTCATTTTAAAATTTTGAATAAGTGTTACTGCCAATTAAATTACTAAATTATTGATATATGTATGAAGAATGTTGAAAGTAAATGATAAACGATTGGATAATTATTTAGATGAAGATGTATAGGTCACGCATGGTTCACAATCACTTCGATCACACTTGGTGCCGAATGCATCCGGGTTTACCCGAAAGACTGTTTTCGGCATTTCGTGAATAAGTGTGACCGATGTGATTGTGAACCACGCGTGACCTGTGCGGTCCTCATCTCAATAATTACCAACGATTATTCTCTAATAAATAAATTTATTTTAATTTAACTCGAGTAATTTGACCTTTGGGTTGTGCCAATTGGAACAAGGTACTTCAAGGTGTAGTTCTAGCTCCGTAAAGATGAAGTTTTAAATTATCATAACAGTTTTCCGATGTGCCAAAAGTTTAACTGCGCCAATGAATCGAGACTATAAAATATTTAAGAAAGCATTTGACAATTTAAGCTGAAGTTAAACATAAGGTATTGTTAAAATTATCAAACAAAAAACTATTTGTGTTAAATTCTTCATTCTTAATTTATACACTACAAGTATGGATATAAGTATTTAATAATTGTTGTATTGTATTTATTTAATACAAATAATATTTATTAAAAAATAAATTTAAAAATAAACAAATTTTTACATTTTAATATAGCCCCACTACTTTGAACATTGTACCCTACACTTGTACTTCGCCCTCAGCCTAGTCCTTTGTTCTGTACGACGCACTTCGCAATTGTTATAGCTCTTTGATATACCAGAAGTTAAACTGCATCTTCTAACCAATAGTGATTGTTAAACTATTTAAGAAAGTATGGGAAATTTTACGCTGCAATTCAGAAATAAGGTACTGTTCAAATTATAACATAAATACTACTGCTTGCTAAATTAACCGGCTCTTAATTTATATAGTATAAGCAATGACATACATATTCAATAGTTGTCCAGATATGTTATAAAATAACTAAATTTCTTTATTTTCCATATTCGTACTACTTTGAACAATGTACCCAACACTTGTACTTCTTCTCCCTGAGCCCAGTCGCAGTTCTGTTGTAATAGTTATAGCTCTTTAATAAATCAAAAGTTCAACTTTATCTTCAAATCAATAGTGACTTTTAAACTATTTAAGAAAGTAATGAAAATTTATGCTGCAATTTTGGAAAAAGGTACTACTCAAATTATAAAATAAATATTACTGCTTATTAAATTAACCAAACCTTCATATATTAGCTACAATCATGAACATACATATTCAATAGTGGTCAAATTATGTTAGAAAATAAACAAATTTTTACATTTTAATATAGCCCCACTACTTTGAACATTGTACCCTACACTTGTACTTCGCCCTCAGCCTAGTCCTTTGTCCTGTATCGACGCACTTCGCAATAAATGTTACAGCTCTTTGATAAATTAAATATATAACTGCATCTACGGAAGAATATTGATTTTTAAACTGTTTAGAATGTAATGGAAAGATTTCTCTACAATTTAGAATTCAGGTATAGTTCAAATTGTAACATAAATGTTATTGTTTGCTTATACATTTAGAAAATCGTTAATAAAAATTATTTTTTTTTAAATATCTTCTTTTTAACGTACCTTCAATGTTCACACAACTTTTATTATTGTTTCCTTTCTATTATTTATACCTTATTTTCTATTATCTATTCGTTATTGCTTCCCATGTTTCCTCAACTTAACAATATTGTTCTTTGTTGTATTGTAATGTGTTATTATTATTTAGTTGTTTTTAATTAATATTTTTTACTTTGCAGGACCGAAATCTACCGCTGGTGTACTTTCTTCAGGCTCAAATGAAATTTCTCGGAAGAAGACACGAATGTACGATTTGTGCTATTGAGAGAGTGCAAAGAGCTGAATTACGTCTCTTATGTGAAGTAAGTGACTAATACAAATATATATTAATATTTTAAAATTCATATCTTAAGTAGCCTACATTTTTGAACCTTATTTTTTATTTATTTAATAATAATATTTTATTATAATTTAAAAATCACCAATGATTTTTCTCGGATAAATATATTTTACTTAATAGATAAATGTTTTTTTAGATGTTGCTTAGATAGGCCCATCTAAAACATATCTCCTTTATTTATCATCTTTTCACAAAATGATTAATTTCAAATACAAAATAATTAAATAATTAATTGTTATATTTATTTTTTCTGTTCCTAGGAATCACTGGGAGGCCAATTCATACGGCCAAATCTAAGAAGCTAGAAGCCTACAGGTACTCTTTACCACTGAGGGTGGAGTATTCTGTAGAAGAGCTGCGAAAGATTCTTCGACTCACTGGATGGCCGAAGATTCTTCTCGGTGGACTGAACGATTCGCTCTCTGGAGGACCTGGCAGGTCATCTACTGAAGTTCAGCTCATTCCCTCGTGAGTGTTGAGCCGTCCTCGATCTCACAGGATGGTCGAAAGGTTCGAATCCAGCTCTTTGGTGTTCGGCTCATCTCGGAAGGAGTCCACAGTCATCAGCGTTCTTCAAGTCCTCAATTTCCTCTGGACTCTTCGCTCCGGAATTTTTCTCCTTTTCCCGGATCTTCTTGTCTTCTTCCCGGCTCTATCTCTCGAGGTTACTTTTACTCGACCAGATGTCGTGCTGTAGCAGGAGAATCGAAGGAAGAAGAGATCGAAGTACTCCGCGATCCGTCGTGTTTGGGAATTCGAATCGCATCATCGAAGCGATGTCGCTGCTACTGAGCAGTTCTCGTGTCACAGTTGTACACGAAGGAGAACATCGCTCAACTAGTGGGAGTTGAAACTAATAATTATTCTGTGGTGGTTGTTATTATCTTATTTTAGGGATACATTATTTCCCTAGCCGTTGTTTATATATTCCCTTCTGGCTCTTTTGTGGCCATATATCCCTTAGCAACCTAAGGCTTTTATATTAGCCTCACAACAATCACCGCAACCACCACTACTTAAATTTCACTGGAGTTATATCTGCATCTGCTGGGATTTCAATGATATCATCTATTTACAATTGCAGATGTGTCTTTTAAAAAGTAACTGTGGAAAACTATATATACATAAAGAAATCGTTTATTTCTTTTCACCCCAAACATTTGAGAGCTCGTTGATGCTCTATTCCCAGCCCAGCATTGGCTTTTATTAGTCATGGTTCAAAGTCTCATTTTTCAGGCGCTAAAGGAAATCAAACCAAGCTAGATATAGTGAGAGATATTAAATTTGAGGGATAGTTTGGTTTGATGTTTTACTTGTACCTGGGAATGAGCTCTTTTCCAAATACACTAATAGCTAAAAAGCCAATGACCTAAGAACTATCTTGTAATTATTTATTTCAGATAGTTACCTATTCAGTAGGTTTAGTCTCAATTATGAGTAATGTAGATTCATACTTTTTTTATTATTTCTGTCTGTAGTTCCTAAATGGACATAAAACTTTATTATGAAATGGTTATATTATCACCTCAATAAATAATGAACTAGGAAAAAAATCAAAAATATATTTCTTTTAAGCAGTATCTGATCATAATTGTTTAAATCAAGGAAATTTTAAGATTCCGTATTTTAAACGAAAATTCTTACAAAAATTCGGTTTAATTTTTTTAGTTTAGTTTCGACATCTGTTAATTGAGCGATGTTCTTCTGCATGAACAACAATGACACGAAAATCGCTCAGTCGGTTACATCACTCCGATGATGCGGTTCGAATTCCCTACCTGGCGAATCGTAGACTACTTCGATCTCACCTTCCTTCGACTCTTCTGTTACAACACAATGTCTTTTCGAGTTTGAGTGGCTTCGAGGGAAAGGGTCGGTTTGGGGAGAAGAAAATCCGGGAAAAGGAGAAAGATACTGGGATGAAGCGTTCCGGTTGGAGGTTGAGGACTTGAAGGACGTTGATGACTATGGACTCCTTCTCTGTATGGGCCGAGTACCGAAGAGTCAGATTCGGGTCCTTTCAATCATCCCGCAAGAGCGAGGGCAGCTCTCTGCTCGCGAGGGATGAGATGGATTTTAGAAGATGGCTTGCTCGGTCCTCAAGAGGGGAGATCGTTTTATTGGCCAGGAAGAGTTTTTTGTCGTCCAGTGACTTTTTTGTCTTAGAATCTTCTCGAGTTACCTCCGCAGAATATCATCCTTTGTGGTCCAGAGATACATAACTTACGACTTAAGACTTTTGGTAGATTGAAAGAATGAAAAAGATATCAGAGAAGAAGAATGGATGAAATGTAAAATTAAGAAATTAATCTTCACACCGGATGCAGCTTGAATAAGGTATGTTGTTTACATTATACTGAATTGTATTCTATGATAGATTATGGTAACATTTTTAAATTATGTTTTAGTATGTTGCAATAAACTTCTAATCTACATTAATAACTTATCTTCTACTTATGGACTTGTAAAAACGTTCTTGGTCTCTTTGAATATTAACTTAATTGATGGAGCTATATTTTATTTATTTTTTTTGTCAAACCTTCATAAGAAGAGATAAATCTAAAAAATTCCAAAAGCAAAAAGTCAAGGTGTGAACGTTAGCTTTTACAGAAGGCAGTGATGGTCACTTGTATTAAAGTTTTGGCCGTTTTAACATTCTCGAATCCAGTGGAGTCGTTTTTAATCCAGCCTGGGTGGGTTGAAATTTATTTAGTAGTGTACCCACGGAACGAATTTTGACTTTTCCTCTCTGGTTAGAATAGGTTTAGTATTTCTACTAGAACAACCTCCCACCTTTCCTTATACTATAAATTGTAAACGAAAAAAAAATTGTTAGGCCAGTTAAAAAAATAAAATAAAAGGCTGAATAACATATGAAAATAAGGTTTCTGTATTGGAAAACATTATATAGAAACAACAATCAATGTTATAAAAATAAAAAAAATTTAACGTTTGAATGTTTTTTTTTACCTATTAGATCTCTAATTTTTCTCTGCCTTTATATTTTCAACAAAACGTTAATATTTACATTGGTTTAATATGTACAAATTTAATGTGTAAGGTTGTTAAATATAATGTTATTCAATGTATAACGTTGACGAACCACAAAAGTAGCTGTAAGTCGGAAATGGCTGCTATAAGGAAATTTATGTTAAAATAATAAAAATGCGATTAAAAATGGATGGATTGATTTATTTTCGAATTTTAGAGAATAAATCATTTCACTTTCTTAAAAAAATCAAACTTCTATAAATCTATTTAGCACTTCGTATTAGCAACCTATATTATGTCGTGTAGAGAGAGACAAGCTGGGAATCTGGAACTATTGGTGGTGAAAAAAAAAGAAGCAGTTAGCCAACCTTATATCAACTAATTCCGCTTTGCACCTTCTACATTCTCAATAAAACTTCATACTAACAATAATAATGTCATATAAAACAATAATGATCCTGGCTGTTGATAAGAAACAGGCACCACTCATATCAAAAATATTTTTGAATATATTGATTTACATGTTTTTTAGTACTTCTAATGGAAATTAAACAAAAAATTTTTTTTATAATATTGGCCGAAGACTAAGTGGTTCATCACCATTGGAATCAGCAAATATTTCAACATTAAAACATTTTTAAATATCATTCCATACATTCATTATTTTCCATTAAATTTATGTTTTCCTACTTTAACATATCCTCTTCTGATCCGAATAACAAAGTAATTCTTTTGTTTGTGTGTGTGTGTGGGTGTATGTAACTCCATTGGAATGGTGGTATGTTAAGCTGTTGGTAATTTTTCACTTAATATACTTGAATTGTTTAGTATGAATTATTTACAACCAAAAAATATATTAATAGATTAAGTGGGAAATTGTTAACAATAATTTTTTTTTTATCCCTTATTCTAGCCGAAAGCATAGTACACAAAAACAATTCTATAAAACTTATTAAGAAGAAAATGAAAGATCATATTTTTTCAACCTTTTTGTTTCATTATTTTCCCCTCTCATTCCTCTTCTTTCTCTTCACCATATCTTTGCACAAGAAAGAGAATTTCATGGAGTAGAGACGACCCTTAAATTCCTACTAGAGCTTTAATAATTTAGTAAAAGTCATTGTAAAAATAAGGTTTTAAGATTCAGAGTTTTTTAAGCCGAAAATGTACGAAAAATGACGAAGTTAATGTAAAATGACGAAGTTATTACGGGATACTATTTTTTTTTCGCAGTTCGAACGGGCTTTCGTCAGGTAGATGAACTATCACCCATGTTGCTCAGCTTAGCCCTGGAGAAGGTAATAAGAGCAGCATCACAGGAAAATGGAGGGGTCCATGTCGGAATGAATCATAAACTCCTTGGATACGCAGATGATGAAGCTGTCCTTGGAAGTGATCAAGAAGACATCGAGAAACTCGCTACAAGAGAGACAGTGCAGATCAGCTTTTTGCTACAAGTAAATGAATACAAAACAAAATATATGATAATAAGCCGAAATTTCCACCCCAATAACAGGATCTGCATAGAAGGAAAATCATTCCCGAGAGTAGAAAAATTCAAACACCTAGGCTCCACAATAACATCATTGAATGACCAACGGGTAGAAATAGACAGTGTATAACTAGCGCAAACAGAGCTTTCTTCTCTCTCTCTCAGGTGTTGAAATCCAGAAAAATCTCAAACTAATGGTGTACAATGCTATGATAAAGCCAGTTCTAATATATGGCTGTGAGACCTGGACACAAAACAGCAGCCTAGAAAAAAGTGTGCAAAGATTTGAGAAGAAAACTTCCGCACGATAACCGGAGTGATATGGGATCAGAGTGCTAACACATGGAGAAGAAAGACCAATATAGAACTGCTTACAGAAAGTGATCAATCAATATCCCATTACATGAAGGCACGCCGGTTAAGATGGGCGGGGCATGTAGATCGAAGCAATCCATCTGGAAGCCTCTACGCAACAATGAATGCCTCAATAGAAGGCAAAAGACTACGTGGAAGGCCAAAAAGCAGATGGATAGATAGAATCAACAAAGATGCAACAGAGCTGCCTGCAGATAAATGGAAAGAAATTGTCCAAGACAGGCAGAGATGGAGCAGGCTTGTTAAGGTGACGAAAGATCAACATGGTCTGTAATACCAAAAGAAAAACAAACTTTTTTCATAAATGCTTTTAAAAATTAAAATGCAGACCAATTTCAATACACAATTTCGTATATTCGGCTAGAACTAGGAGGAGTATCTCAAGGCTGTTATCTCACACCATTGATATAGATTGTAAACACTTATGCACATACACGTCATACCATTTCCAACAATTTTATTATAAAATACACAATATACACATATATATACATTTCAGCTTTTTCTTGTTCTACCGAAAGGCACTTCCTACCTTAACATGCCTACAAGAAAAATGCAGAAACAAATATATATATTGTAATTTTATAATAAAATCATTGGAGAATGAGGATAGGTTCTAAATCATTATTAGAATAACGGCTTTAGTGATAAAAAATAAATTATAGCTGTTTTATGTTTTTTGTGGATTGCTTAAAATGATTTAGCGCAATATAAAATTAGTAGAATAGAACTTTTCCAAAGTATATACTTTGCTATTGTTATATACAGTAACAATATACTATGATATTATATAATAAAATAATATCATAAATGATGTATAATAATATTTCATAATGTAACAATACAGTTTGATAAAATATAATAACAAAAATAATATACTTATATATAAAAGTATTTTTCATTACAGATTCAAGAAATATATAAACAAAACTGCTGTGATCTTCAGGTAGTATTGTCTTCGCAGGTCATCCGATTCCACGCAGTCTCCGAGATCATCGGCGTCATATCGGCAGCGAGGTAGGAATAAGTTATAAGTATACATTTTATTACATGGTTACATGTAATATTAGGGGTTCCTAACAAATGAATCAGACATATAGAGGGAAACAGCATAACTAAGGTTGAATATGGTAAACCCTCTCATATGTGGTATTTGAGATAGTTCACGCTAAAATATTAATCACTAAATATTTATTGTCATATATTAAAGTCAATTATAAAGGTCCGGGATAAAATACTATTTACACTTTTTGTTATAAAAACTGTTTATCCTAATTAGCCTTCCCTTGTCCACATCATCTTCGAGTTTTAATATTCAAAATATTTCGGAAGCGGGGTCCCCGAGTGGGTTAACGCGTGCTGCCAGCTAACCATATAAACCGAATTTTATGTGATAATAAGTTAGCGTATCGGGGTCGGGAAGGGCTTTTAACCCTCCATTAATTTCCCGCCCTCTCCCCTGTTCCAGGAAAACCCTGTACATTCTAAAATGTGAGAAATGGGTGAAGAAAAACAAAAACAAATCAAACGTTTCCCCACTCATAAGTCGATAGTTATCTTTCGGTCTCTTTTTCTACCAATTTACGATGCGGGGGCGTGGGAACCGTGCGGATTAACGCGTGTGCACAGCACCACGCTGCTCAGCAATATGATATAAGATAATTTGATAAAAATAATTTCTAGTTTGCGTCCCGCTGCCGGGGGAGGGAGAGAGCTTTTAATCCTGATATTTAATACACCGCTTCATCACCGGTCCGGGAATATCTCGTATAGCCTAAAAGGCGAGGAAGGAGAGGACCGAAAAAAATACTTGCTATGTGGCTCATCAAATCAATTAGAAAATAAATAATATTTATTGTAACAATATAATAAAATATGATATAATATAGTATAATACAATATAATAAATAACAAAAGTATACCGAGTTATTGTCATATTTAAATTGTTTTTCATTACAGGGTTAAGAAACATGTGCACGAAATTGCTGCCGTCTTCCGGAAGTATTGTCTTCGCAGGTCGTCCGATTCCGCGCAGTCGCCGAGATCATCAGCGTCATAGCGGCAGCGAGGTAGGAATTAGTTAACTAAACATTATATTACTTGGTTATATTGAATATTGGGGTTCCTGACAAATGTATTACAAAACTGAGTTATTGTTATATTTAAATTGTTTTTCTTTACAGGTTCAAGAAACATCCGCACGAAACTGC